ATTATTACCCCAGCAGACCATAGAACACTCCGAAACAGTCTTGACGGGATTCGAACCCACGACCTTATGGTTGCGAGTCCGAGAGCCTAACCACTAGGCCACCGACGCCACATTTTCAATGTTTAAAAAAAAAATGGAGATAGGACAAGAAAGCACTGAAGTCGCGACGAGACAAGGACGCCTACCTTCACATTCTGTCTCCAGCCCCCCGTTGTACCCAAGTGCAATAAAAGCTTATTTGTTTTTGATTATGACAAATGTTTATGACTACAGTATAACACGGACAGATGGAACACACAAGACTCGAAATCACGCACCCGTCAAACGGCGTCTGCGGTCCTTTTTTTTTCTTTCTTTTTCTTTATCTTTGTAAGATATCCCTCGAACTACGGATCCCTCGAACTACCGAGGCCGGTCCCGATGGATTCTAGCTATCCGTGTTATACTGTATTGTGTTTTGTGTATAGCTGCATGATTTGAAAGAAATTTAATTTTCTCAATAGCCAATGGTTTTGTCAGTAACTGAAGCATTTCGGCATGCGGTTAATTAATGAAGCTGATTTTGTGAGTTGCTGTCTATCTATTTGTTTTTGTATTATTTAGAGTGTATAGTTCAAGAATTTCCTCCCTGGTTTTTTCCTCACATATAATTATTTTTTTTTCCTTTTACAGCCGTAGCTTGCTCTAAAAAGCAGTTACGATAATTTGATTAACAGGTCTGTCCTTATTACTAAGGCTTTTTGTATTCTACCAAGTCATTATACGCTATGAAGTTGTTTGCACGTATGTGTGTATGTGCATCTGAAGACATTATGATATACCATACTTTGTAGCAACAAAATATTCCACTTCTGTTTTCTGCTGTTCCTTTTAAATTAAGCTGTTTGTCGTGTATGTAAGTATGTATATATATGTGTGTATGTGTGTGAAAGTGACACGTTTTGGTAAGAGTTTGATAAAGTTGAATCGTGAAGTTGTCTCGTGCATGCTGTTCAGCTTCTGTATCATCTACTGTTGCTATGGATACTGTGTTGAGGACTCTCACCACATCTTGTTACGACCTTGAAGACGTCCTATTTTTGTATAATCTCTTACCCCTCTCTCTGCTGATACTGCTGCCAAGTGCCTTGATCAACTGTTTACTCGTCTTTCTTTACTCTTTAGAGATTGGCATTCTCCGGATTGTTTTACAATAACTCTGTTTTTAAAAAATGGGAATCTATTACCTTCAATATTGACACATATGTTACAGTATTTACACATATGTTACAGTGTTGCAATTATAGATATATTATTGGCGCTCATATGACCTTATGCAGTTGCGAGTGCCGTAAAACCCTCTACTATAATATAAAATAGATATATTATAGAATTTTTAAGGTTCTCCAATTGCTCCAGTATTCACTTTATTTATCAAAAATGAATTGAAATACCTGTGTGAAAATTAAAATAAGAAGAGCCTTTCCAACATGCACGGGTCTGAAGGTTTGTTCCCTCAGAAAAAATGAAGTATTTAAAATCAAACATTGTGAGGAAGCTATCTAAGTCTTTAGTTCTTGTAGTATAAAAAGGAAAAGAAAAGGAGAAAGTAGCTTGCTGTGTACCCAATGGAAAATTCCTGAGATGTGTAATTAGAAAGCAATGCACAGTGTATCATGCACAGCAAAATTGACTGGATGCGAGAAATCTTTTCGTGGCGTACAATTTTCACTTTGTATGTACGTGTTTTGAATACAAAGAATATACTTGTGCATTTATAAGTATAGGAAAAAATTACCTGAGCATCTGTTTGCTATGTACGTGTTTTGCTATGTGCGTGTTCACAGCGTCCGTGTTCACAACATGTGTGTTTTTCGCTATGTGCGTGTTCACAACGTGTGTGTGTTTCGCCTAGTGAACGCTAGACTAATTGGTCTCAGTTTCTCGTCTCCTTAGATGTTACAGTCTGTTGCAGAGTATGTTTTGTATGAAAAGAAATCTGACTGTTAATTATGGTGGTTAGAATTAATTTCTTCTTTGGACTTTCCTAAAGTCACTTTTA